ATATATATATATATATATGATGTATGTATGTATGTATATGTAAACACTTTTATTCTAACTTATATCGCAAATACGGAAAATCATCGGCTTATATTGGCCAAAAGTATAAAACATCCCCACAAATGCAAATGTTTTATATCTAATAAAAAATAAAAAGCAGTTTTATTGAAAAATAATATTTTTATAATAATTTTAATTTTCTTTGTTTTTCTTTGAATTTTTATTACCACCTTTTCTAAAAAAATGCAATAAATTGAGGGCGCTTTATACTTATGGCTAATTCTGTATTCATCCATCGGGATCTTGAAGCAAGATAATCGCTCCTGCGTGAATCAATTCTGTTAGATAGGTAACATTTGTCTATTGTCATGCGTTTGTTGCGTTAACCTAACAGAAAGAAATCTTTTCCATTGATATTGACATAATAAGGTTTATTCGTGTTACTTGCATTTTTACATTCAGAATCTTCGCTATCTTTCTCTCTCCAACACTTGAATGTATGTGATTTATCTCATAAGTGCAAAAATGTTTGAGGATTTCAAGCAACACAAACAAATCTATTATACGATCTTTTGTCCTTTTCATGTCTGATCTTAGAGAGATACATAAGAAACGAAATTGTTTCTAGATCCCACCTTTATATTGAGACGCAACTGCTCTTTCGCTGAATATTCAACATGTTCAATATATAATTGATAAACGATCTGTAGACTCATCAATATTCATATTGATTTTTTACTAAGAAAAAACATAGCAGCGCAAAAATCTGTCCGGATAGAAAATAAGTATCGAAGAAGGAGAGTAGACGGAGTCAAAACGGGAACGAGATGAAATATTCGTTTAGGGAAAAGGAAGATGGAAAACGAATGTCCGAATTATACAGATTAACGACGAAGAAAGACACCGAAGCCAGAATGACTTGGAGCTTCCTCTCCTTAATACTCTATCTATGTACAACCCTTTCTCTCGAACCTCGTAAATGCTAAAGCAACCCACAGCCAGTAAAAATGTACAAACATCCTCGACTTCGGCGTCTCCTATGTATACATTCGAAAAGCGGCCTATATACGACATTTAATTATCATTACAAATATATTTCTTTAAGATATCGATATGAATAACAATGAGATTTATATGATCAAAATTTATTTTATTGAGATTTAATTCTGATACTAATTATATCAATCAATTGTATCGTATATAGGCCACTATATGTCGTCCACCGCGTATTGCGATCAATAAAATAGGAGGATCACAACTGTTCTTGATTCTCGCGAGCGTCACGTGGACGGCTTCACCATCGCTCCCGATTTCATCGCAATGCCTGACAATATTATTCAAGAATTCGCAAGATTCTTATACTTATGTACTAGGGCACTGATTTAAAGATCAGTCTACTGATGATAATCGGAGTTGATGGAACAGAATACATCTCTCTCGCTCATGATGGATACAAGTGATCGGATGTAGAATGATTCATTTTAATTGTTCTCGTCTCTCTTTTATGTCTGATGTTGATGAATGGGACTGTGGTGTTGCGACCATGCTGGCGGCGACGAGTGATTGAAGTTAACTGATATCGTAACCGGATGTAAAACGGTGTCGGGTCCGGTGTCCGGAATGAAGCTCAGATGGGGTCTGATCAAGGATGCCTCAACTGTCAGTGGTACATAAAAGGATCCGGCGTCATGCAGAGCGAAGATTGGCACCCCGTGAGACGACGAAGACGGCGATTTATCCAGTCCGGCACCGTTCGACACTGGTGGTGAACACGATTTCACCCTCTCTGCCGAAAACCTTTGTTTGATCGAACTCTTGAACTTGTAGTTGGTCGGCCGGTCTCGACAGGAGACGGTTCCGGTTCCGGGTGGCGTACTATGCGAATGGGTGCTGTGATTGCTGTCGTCACTTACAATCGTCGGTGGCACGATCGTCGGTCGCAGCAGCGGGCGCTCCGGATCGCCAAATGAGCTCACACCCGAGCTCGAGCCGTGGTCCGAGTGGCCGCCATTGGGCTGACATATCGTCGGAATACTCGTATGCGAATAGGCGGCGCCATTTATCACTCCATTCATCACTGGCAATTCGGGATGTGGGAAGCCTAATCGGTCACCTACAACAATTTCAGTGATTAACTGCCGGAATTTTTTTTTAAAGCACATTGAAAAAAAATGGTCGCGATATAATAATTTAATTATAATTTCTAGTCATTTTCGGTGTCAATTACATATATTTTTGATAAATCTATAAATATACTTGTTATTATCATTATAGCAGTAATAGTTATAAAAATGGAATTCATGATTATTTTATATGCAATTAAAGTCACAAACTTTTCTCTTAGTGCAGACACTCTATATTTTATAAGGAATAATTATAACTCTATCGATCGTATCAAAATTTTGAAAATGAAAAATCAATTGGATCAAATATTAAAAATTCATGATCTTCGATATACAGAAGACATTAATTAGAATGTATTATAAAAATTAAATAATATTTTCTCTTTTCAAGACATGCAAATTGCAATGAAACTGATGTTTATATCATTGTTTATTATTATCAGTGACTGGATCAAAAGTATTAAAGTATACTTTTTTCTAAATAAAGACTTTCTATTTACTCTTTCACAAGTAAAATGATACGTACTGGTGGCTACGATTTTGTCGCAGTGCTGCTGCAAATGATTGATGAGCTGTACGAAGAGGGTATCCCTCGCGAAGAAACCTTCGACCTCAATGAGGAAATGCATGGTTTCGCTCAAACACTCCTGAAATCCCAGCTTGTAATGCTCTGCCGCGGTGGAAGCCGCGGTTGAGTGGGACACGCTGTCCACGCTGTCCTCAGGATGTGTGTGCACCGGTGTCACGGACGAGTGCTTGGTATCTAAATACAAAACAATAAGTGATGCTGTAAGTATGACTTAGGTATACGCTTAGATATGAAAAGTGCAATGACCTACCCCAATCCCTTATTAAATAATTTTATTATTTTTAACTTCCATATATCTGTGCCAAAATCAATCCATTTCTATGGTTGAACTGATATTGTTTCAAAATAAACTTTCATATTAACGTACTTAATAAATAATAAATTGAATTTGAGTCAAATTTAATACATTTCTTCAGTTAAATTATTTAACTCCATTGCTTTAGTTAAACAATTAGTAACATACTGAGAAGTAGTGGTTACCTAATGAAGTGATTAAAAATAACTCAAATTGGATACAATTTGACATTACGAATTTAACAGTGTATGCTTGTCGAGAGAATATTTCTCATTCGCGATCTGCAACCTGCGGTCTGTTTGCGGAACGACATTGGCAGATCTTGTTGCCAACTTGCGGAAATACAATGCAATGTTGCGTAATATATTCTCGTTCCCGAAATAATTTTATTTGGGAGAATCGCGATCGAATCAATTAAACATTCACCTTGCCGAAGGCCTTGAAGATGCTTCATGTGGCGGATCGCCATCTCGATGATTTCTGTCTTTTCGACTCTACCCCGACCTTTCTTCAAATATTCTGCAGGTATAAGTCGGCTAAGATCGGCTAGGCAGTTGTTCATACGATCTCTTCTGCGCTTCTCGATGATCCTGTGTGACATCGGATCTTGCTGCAACAAAAATAAATACGATTCAATGATTTATCCGGTCAATCTCCTAATATTTTAATAATAAATATATAAAAATATAAAAATATCATACTTTAGAGCCATTCATCGTTTTAAAATATTTTAGAGCTTTATCATGATTATATAATCTACTAATAATCATATATATAATCATATAATTTTATATTATTACTATATATGCAAGAAAGAAAGATTTGTATACTGTTATTATTATTATTATTATTATTATACGAAAAGAAACTTATTAATATTTATAAACGAAAAATTCAAATATATAAAATAATTATTCCTCAGATTTTAACAAGTTGTAAAAATATTGCTAATTACTTTCTAAATATTAAGTTCTACCTAGGTACTAAGTACATTGAGAAAAAAAAATAGTCTATTTTAATAAATATTTAATTCAATATTGCCAATTAAACATTTACTTACTATAAATAAATATTTGTTCAGTAAAAAGAATGATTGTTAAATCAAATAAATGTTTCTTGTATCAAATAAATATGTCAAATAATAATGTCTTTATATTTAATAAATATTTATTAAAATTGACTATATTTTGTTTCAGTTACTTTCTTTAAAAATGACTCACGCAAATTGATACATTTGATTTTTGTTTGCAGTAGTAATGGTCAAGATATAATCAGACATGACTGAATTTATTTTATCTCGCATTATTTAATGAGAAACAATTAAAATACCGATCTTTATAAACAGATAAATTTATACGAAGCTTTTGTTATTGCAATTAAAAAGTTACAACTCCAAAATATGATCTCACATTGAACAGTCTTTACTGGTCATCCATGAACTCCTATGGATATCTTAATTAAAGCAGCATTTGCGTCTCGAACAACAAAGATTGTAATTACGCTACCACGGGCGAATTAAAACACGTTATCATCTTTAAAGGTCACGTCGCGATTCGCTACTGGAGCACAATTATCTGTACGTGCCACGTGTCACGATCTTGAGGTGCGTATCGCAGTAAGTTAGGTAACCGCTTAATTCGCTGAAATGTTCATCTATCGCGCGAATATGCGGAAAGATAACGTCTGCGATCGGGCACGAAGCAATGTGATGTAATGCAAAAATCTCACGTTTGACGATAAAACTGCGGCTGATACGTATAAGAGCAGTTCCTGATAATTTTATGTTGAATAACAAACTCTTTAAATGAATTAAGACAAGCGCATACTCCGAAATAATATTAATATGAGTGAATGAATAGTCGCAATCGCAGGACGATCGAAAATTTTTAGATAATTTGCAATTTACTTTATACTCTTACTATATTCCAACCAAATTCATACTAGTTGTTTATTTTAAAAACAATATAACTTTTCTGAATTATTTTATTTTGAAATGTCATTATCTGCATATAATATCATGCCAAGTCACAATAGGATCTTATATAACTATTCTTACGCGAATGTCTGCTTTAAAAACAAACAACATGCCTTACTTTTCTAGATAACCACAATTTGCTCTCGTCAAGGTAATCGACGCGAACCTTCAAACGCCTGCTGGATTCATTTCAAAACAAATTTTTACAAGAGAATGGAACGAGCGGTTTGCCTCGCAATTATGCGATTGAAACAGCAAACGAACAAAAGCGACGTCACAATGACGCCTCGATACTTATGCTGATTTACGGGTATGTAGCATTCAAATCACGGTAACGTAACGCTCGTTCCTGGCACGCGGCCAGCACGACGTTTTCCATGGAACTCATTCATGCGAAATTACGCAAGCGATCGGCGCATAAATCGGTGCATCCCAAGAACGGGAATGGAATACGCGGCGCAGAGAGAATCATCCTAAAGACCATAAATCAGGATGAAATGAAGGAATGAAATAGTGGCTTTACTTCAAAGATCATATATGGAGTAGCCGATGCAAATTTCTTTTCAAATGTAAATTTATTCAGAATTTATTCACGCTAACTCTTTCCAAAAATCATACAATTAATCCTTCATTACTCGCGTGTTGCATCCCCACTTTACAAAATTCACTAAATATTAATTTATACACATTATTATATTTAAGATAAATTGTTTTACAACAACAAAATTTTGCAGTTATCTCTATCTAAAAGCTGTATAAAATATTATCAATTTTAATTTAATTGTAAATCATCAGAGAAAACAATGAAAATCAGGATATAATATTGAGGTATCAGGAACATCTTATGCGAGTTAATTCAAATGAAAGATTAAATATTGCTAATAACAAAATAAATGAAAAAATGTTCCAAGTTAGATGGAAGAATGCATTCCGATAGCATTTATTTTTATATAAAGGTTGTATAAAATATCAATCTTTAATTGTAAACTATCAAAGAAAACAATGAAAATTAGGCTATTATATTGGAGTCAGAAATATTCTACGCGAGTATAATTAAGATTTAAAAAAACCATGCAAGTAATGTATAAACTTAAGTTAATTAAATGTTGCTAATAAAAAAATATATGAAAAAATGTCCCAAATTACATTCAAGAATGCGTTCTGATAGTATTCCAATTTATCTCTAAAGAATATTATAAATATTTGTTTATTTATAAATTATCAAAGAGAGCAATAACGTTGAGATATAATAATGTTGAAGCACCAGAAGCATCCCACATGAGTAATTACGTTAAAAAACCATACGAGTAATGTATAAGGATTAATTAAATGTTACTAATGAAAGAGTAGAAGATTCCAAATTGAAAAGATAGAAAAATGCATTCCGATAGCGTTCGAATTCTTCATCGTATTGAAACTGCGTGTCCGTCTTTCCTTTTTCCGAGCGGAAAGAAACAAGATATCGATTTCATCCAATTAGATTGACGGATGCGTATTCACCTCTTTATTCAAACAGCGTCTCTTCCTCGGCGGCGGTGAATGCACCGATGCATCGACGTGGCTGTTCGTCGGATAGTATTGCATGTTCAGGATGTTATCCATACTATGCGTGACCATCCTGCCTTGAATAACAAATATAGAAGGGGAAAAGTATTTTCTTATCTTCCACGGTCTTCGATCCGCTTAAAAATCACTTTATTATCACCCTTATTGTTCCTCTTTAAATACTTGCGATACGCGCGATACACGTGTATACCATTCGAAAATAAACTTCTATATCGATAAATATCGAAGTCTATTGCGTTGATAAAATTCACTCCCGAAATGATTTTCTCGCGAAGAAAATTCGATTCCGAATAATATTTTTATCAATCAGTTCCCATAAATGATTCGCACTACATCGAGTAACTATATACTGGGAGTAACTATATACACTTTTAGAATTTGTAGCAATAGCTGTTCCATATGCAATTCAGTCCAAATAGATTTCTCGACGAAAAATGTTCAATTTTATATTTTTTATATATAACTTGTATCCTTCGACTGTCAATTATGTATTATATACAGACAGCGTATATGTATATATATATATTCATTCCAGAATATTATTACTTAAATTTATATTAGAGTCCGTTCGCAATATAATTATTGTCTTTCTATATGTTTTTTTGTTTATTAAAAAATATATAATTATATTTTTGAGAATTACTCAAAGCACTATCGCGATTATCGAAACTTAGCGAGAGATTAACTGACCACTTAACACTTGGAACGGGCCACTCGCTCTTGTTATCGAACAGTTGCTGTTCATGCTCGCGAATCGCAGGCGCACCGACGACTACGAGCCGCGAGCGACGACACTCGCGTTTCTTCAGCCATCGGGAGGGAGACATCACATCGGGTTGGGCCGCGCCGCGCTGCGTCGACGGCGACGAGGAGGCATCACGTGTCGGAAACGCGATGTATTACGCCCAACACGTGAGGCGACACGCGTCTCCGTCTCATCGCATCGCGTCACGCTACGCCGTCCATCGGAACGACCCAGGAGTCTTGTTGTTTCTGACTTTGACTACTACTGTGACTTTGACTACTCCTTTACATCGCGAATCGTTGTATCCCCGATTATCCCGTTTAACTCCCTTTCGAATTTCTCTTCGAGGAAATCCAATTCCACGGATTTTCACACTTTTTTAGTTATCTTTCTGTCGCTCGTATGTAAATGAATAATTTATGAATATTTATAAAAGGCATTTCTAAGAAACACTTCAAGTTCAATTAACATGATATTTTATGACGCGCAGTTTTATGTAGTATTAATGGATGCGCTAAATATTTTTTTTCTTGGATGCAAATTTAATTGTTAACTTAATTAGTTAATTTAATTAACTTTTTTTATTTATATATTTTTATTATTATATTACAATATTGTACAATATTGAAATCGATTCTTTTTGGAAACAATTTAATAAGATATCTTATGAAAAAGAGTTAGCTTTAATAAAATTTTCGACATACTTGAAAAAATGATAATATTATAAAAATATAAGCATATATTTTCACTTATGTTAATTATTCCTTGTACTTTATAAATCATTTTTATTATGATCATAATTTTTATTAGAAAT